CAGCTTTTTTCGGACCCACTTTTTTCGGGTGCGCCGCTGACATACGGCCGACTATCGGAAAAGTATACGCTCTGTCCCGTTATTTTTTTAACACCTCTTTTTTTTTGTTGCATATGTCTAACTCTCTTGAAAAAATTGATGTTATGTACTGCTGACGAAATGTTGCTACGGGTTTCACTAAATTTTTTTTATTGACATGTCACCTTCGGATATATTGTAGATTGATATGTTTGGGGTTGGGTATATCAATAGAATAGATGAATGAGATAAGATGAAGAAAAATATGTTGTATCCGAAATGACTGAATGCGATAAGTGACGTAAAAAGAGCTTTCCGTTAAACACGTGACAATTATGAAATACAAAACAGAGAAAGAAATATTGAAAATTGTATTTTCAATTACCAGATTACACACATAGTAAACAGAATTGTTCCGTACGACCGAGTATAATTTAACCGTGGTTTGCTTGCAACGAAATCAAGATGCTTGTGTCAAAATCGAAACTCGTGCCGACGATGACGTGTGCCTGAAAGTTTTAATTTTCATAGTGTGTTTCTATTTCAAATTTCTCTCTTTGTTCCATGATTCATAGCTGATATACGATACAACTTGTATACGCATACAAAATCCGATAAAGCCTTCGCTCTCGAATCTACGACCGTACAATCAAGTGTCGCCGAGCCGACATTCGAAAAATTCTTCGGAGAAGAAAAATAAATTGCAACGAAATGTACGCGATTATGCCATCTTTTAATATTGTCTCTGCGCCTTTTTTAGATTAAGTTTGGCTTGTAAAATGGCAGGCTTTTTCCTCTCAGACGGCGAGGTTTTTTATGACGGCTATTTATTTAAGTTTTGTTTAATTTTAAACCGTTTCACGTTTTCTATGCGATTATAACTTGTAACCTTCGTAGTATTAATCACCTAGACATAAGCTGAATGAGTGAGCGCAATCATAATTTTATTGGCGAAAATTATTGTGAACCGAGCGATTAAAACTATGCAGAATGATGTCGGCCGACGCGAGCTGAATTATAACAAACATAGAGTAGAATTTGATCGGAAGGAGAACCGTACAATTGCCACATGTCATGTTTAAACAAAAAAAATACAAAAATCTACTACCACCTGCTCTCAAGCTCGCAACTCGAATCGCATGCACATCCATAGATCGGATGGGAGCCATGCATACCACAATATATGCAACCTCGAATATTTATCGTGCAAAGGCACACCACCTTCGAATATTTATTGCGCAAAGGCACATCATTGTTGAATTTTTATATATATAAAACCCAAATGATATGCTGAAAACGAAAATTGACGCCTTCCACCTCTAGATCCCTTTGAGGGGAAGAAAAGGATGGGAGAGAATAATGCTTTGGTTTTTCGGCTCGTTCGGCATCATTCAAGTATTAGTCAGAAAGCTCTTGGCTATCAGCGAGGCAAGTTGTCCTTTCGTTATTAACTCGATTCAAGCGCACTTATAATTTCCGATCGTCTAAAGACATTATTTATTTTTACAATTTGATTTCATTTGATTATTTATAATTAATAAATACTAATAATTTTTTTTGTCATAATAATAAATTAGATATAATTTTGTAATAATTGTTTTTATTCACACTACTCTTATCGCGAACAAGAATCTTCCGAAAATACGTCAATGCGACAACTCTAACGCGAAAAAAATGCTTTGGTTTTATAGCTAACATCAGTTATGCGACGCACAATAATCGTCGCAAAGATAAATATATCGTTATACACTGCCGGAACAATAATGATCAATTGTAAACGCACGTGTATGCCCTTCGATCAATCATGAAAAAAAAGAAAGAGAAAATATAGGTATACATAAGAGCTTGGGCGCGGTAGTGGTGCTGCACGCTCGCCAAACTATCACAACATTGTCGAGGCGCGCGTAACCGCATAACGATCATTGTTTATGATACAACGGCGAACTAATCGCATCATAAAGAATAAAAAAGCCATTTCGCTCGGAAAGTATGGCAGTTATAAGTAAGTCGCGAATACGCCGCGGAAGCGACAAAAATTTCGCACAGAAGGTCAATAAGATACGGCAAACCAACGGCGGGGCATATAATTATTGAACGTCAAATAATTAGAGCATCCTTCGATCGACTAGAGCTGTTGGCCAGATGAGCGCGCATAATGAGGACTCCGCCCGATAAATTGATTAAACGCGCACTTTCTTTCTCTCTCTCACTGAAAGTGACTCCACTTGATCACGAGCACCGTAAAACTCTCTCTCTCTCTCTCTCTCTCTCCCTCTCTCCTGGAACGATAAAAAAGGAGGGTGGAGCGGGAATGCCTCCGGAAATTAAGTTCCTAACTATTTGAACGAGTGCCAGTATAGAACTTGGCCCAGGTGAAATTATTTCCGGCCACCCAAGCTTTTAATTGTGCGGGTGTCTTTTTTTCTCTCCGTTGAAACGGAGAGAAAGAGGCCGCTCGTTACTGCTGTTGCGACAACATTAAAATTACAATACAGGATGTGTGAGCTGCTTTCTTTTTCTTACGAGTTATTAATGAAGTGGCCCTCCTTGGAAGCTTTTTAATTGCACTTAAAGTGATCAAATTAAAATATCGCCTGTTTGTGAATTCAATTTTCTCGCTGCCTTTCAGTACTTTAGCTCGTTCAATGATTAATGGACCGAACAAAGTTTTGTTATGACATTCCGCACGCGCGCGCATGTGTGTATATGTGTCTGTATGTGTGCGCGTGTTATTTTGTTCGAATATTTCATAAGCGCAAAAATACTTCATGAGTACAACGTTCATCGACTTATTAGGCGTGAGGAAATCACTTGGCGATGACGCCGCCTACATTCCGCATGTGGTGTGACTGACACTTTGAAAGCTTCTGAATATACATGGTTATTTTGAATGAAATCATATGACGCTTGATACAATTTTCATTTAAGTGGAATAGGTCGTAACATGATCAGACATTTAATCAACGTAAAGATAATGCATTGAAAATTGTATATTAGTTAATGGTGTGACAGCATAACAGCAAGACGGTTCACATAGCAAAAACAACAGAAAATATTTGTAATCAATACTGAATTTTGACATAAGTATGCAAATATAGTGTTTTCGTCCTTTAAAAAAACACAAGTTAATTAACAGGATGTCAATTATTGGGGGAGAAAAGAGAGTCATTCATTTATTCACCTTACCTGCTTTACAAAAGAGCAAACTGAGAAGCAAGTTGAGAGCGAATCCGACAGACTGAAAGATATATACCGCGCAAAGAGGCTGTATTCCAAGTTGCACAACAGTCTGCGTCGTTAGCGAGAATTTAACGCCAACGCGGGTGGCATAAGCTCTCGCTCGGAACTTCATAATCCCTCAAGGTAGTTTACCTCGCTCTTTTCTTTCTCTTTTTCTTTTTGTTCTGATCCGAAACCTTTGCTCACCAAAAATTAGATTCTTTAGCATTAAAAAAGTTTGGCAAACAATTGTGAGATGCACTTGTGAGACGCGCGCCGCGGGCAATCTTTTCGGCTTTTCAAACTGTTGAGTAATGCAGAGTCACCGGCGCCTTGTAAATTTAGTCATGGGGTGGGGAATTACACTGGGTTAGCGTAAGAGCTTATAGTAGTTGCTCGAGACTACGCTTTTAGTAGCTTTGATGCTAAGCTATGAAATCGCTTTTGGTTGATAAACCTATTTTTCAAATTTAGTCATGTTGCCGTTTTAATTAAAATTTCGAATGACCCGCTTTACGATTGATATTGAGTTTCTCAGTTTTCTCTTTTTGAGTTATCAATATTAATCGAAATATTGAACTATTACGGTGTTAAAACATAATTTTGGCATATCGTTAGCATTTTTATAAAATATTCGGAGGCGCTATTAATAAGCTTTCTTTCAATAATTTAGACAATAATTGTACTATAGCTCTATTCACTATTGATGATTGATCGATAATCGGAAGTTCGTGAAAAATAATGAATTGTCGTGCTTCATCGAATCCAAAACATTGCAATGCTTTCGTTATTTTCCATAAGAAAAGTAACTTTCTTATGTGGAATATCAACAGCTTAATTCGTTAAAATTTTACAAAATAGTCATATAACGTATCAAAACAATGCCAACATTATTCGTCAAAAATGTAATATTACATCTAATAAGTATAAATAGCGTTGGGTTATTTTTGATCCGATGAAAAATAAAATACACTTCGTGACGGTTTTTACGAAAAATGTAACAATAAACATTGTCGTTACATTATTTTTCAAATCGCTAAATATAAGTAATTATACATTGGTTACAAATGAAAATTCCAATTTAGTCTAACATAATTGCTTTTTATTGTGAATCAAATCTATAAATTAAAAGAAAAACGAGATGATTATAATTGAAAAGTGATATTCTAGCGCAGCGTCGATTTTTTAAATCTCATGCCGTTTCATTGATTGCTAAGAGACACCAACGATGAGCCAATTACGTGGAATGGACACGATGCTTGCGTACGAGACGTCGTTATATACACGAACGAACGAGCCTAACGATCAGCGTGCGTGATTTACGAGTGCGAACGGAAAGAGGAGAGCCCACTCGACATTCTTCCTATGTGTCTACTCCATTACGCAATGGAATACTCTTTTTCTTTTATTACATGCGGATTTTTTTCGATTTTATTTCTTCCCTTATTTATCGTTATTCATTCATTTTTTTGGAGATTCTGCTCGTTAACTTTAATGAATACCGGGGGTTGGGTTTGCGTTAAGAGTCCTTATGAAAAACAAAAGAATAATATCAAATTGACTTTATTGGATACCATCAAATATTTCACGGATTAAAAATCAATCGATGTATCAATAATTCGCAACAAAAAAATATTTTTCAGTCGATAAAAATAAATGAAAAATCATCGAGACACTCGGGTATCAATCAAACATTCAATCATAAAAGATTGAGTCAATTGAAATAGGTCATTAACGTAAGTGGGCCAGTGCTTGGTACTCACCGGAAACCGTGAGATGAACAGTCCTTACGAGAGGTGGATGAGCACTGACTTGACACTCGTAGGTGCCAGTGTCTCGTTCGGTTGCCGAGCTAAGCCGTAACCGCCAATTATTTGGCATCTCCGAGTCGAGAGAGAATCGAGAGTCACTAGAGTACGTCTGCTGGCCGAAAGTTAGTAGGTGTAACTCCTCGCCACGTCTTCTTACCCAAGACACCTGCAATTTGACAAGTATTCGTTGTTATTGTTTTGACATTCTTGGAAACTCAAGTGACTCAAATTTTTCCAATAGTTATCGATTGTTAGTTTTATCGAGTCATAAACAAACGTAACTCTCTTAATAGCGTCGTCATTAAGAAAAATCGTATTGAAATTGTAAATAAAAGCTGTAATTGAATCATTCGATTAGGCAAAGAGGGAAATTGTTATCAGTCGTCGGACGAAGAAGAGAAAAAAAGGCGATATCTCCGTCAACTCTATATTACTTTAATCTACATAGATATTTCTATATCACTTAGATTGAATAATTCACTTATCGCGAGTCTTTCGCAAAGAAAATCAGGCTCGTGCAAGGGAAAAAACTGGGTCAACCCGATTTTCGCGTGCGATATCGTGCAGTACGAGATAAATAGAGAGAGAGAGAGAAGGAAAAATATTCGTTCCCCGGCGACGGTGTGACAAATGCGCGGACACGCACTCTCTCTCTCTCTCTCTCTCTTTCTCTCTCTCGCATTGAAGAGATACCGAAGGGAGAATATTGAATTACGATGTAATATATTTTCCAATGAAATCCTGCGCTTTGACGGACCTCTCTAGCGGGACACAGCACCGGCACAGGCCGTCATGTAAATCAACCTCACAGGAAGATATTCACGGGTCACAAAAAAAGACGCAAACTCGCTGAGTCCTGTTGAGGTTTTCGGTTAAAATTTCATATACTTCAACAATAAAGTTTGTTATATTGTCGTACAAATAAAATTATAAGAAAAGCTTTTTTTATCACACTTAATACTTTCTATTTTTTGTGATGAGCTAGAAAAAGTTTGCAAATCTATTTTATGATTCTTCATTATTCTTTGATGAATTCATCTAGGAAGTAAAAAAAGCGTATTCAATTGGAAACGAAGGCAGCATTTTATAATCGAAGTATAATCTGATTGGGGCATGGATGACATGCAAGTCAAAAGCAGGCAACAAACAACAGTTCGTCTTTTTCGAAACGAAAGCTCGGCGCGAGAGGACAAAAACAATTCCAGCAGCGTAAACTTGCCGGGCGCGGCATTTCAATTCCAAACCCACAAACGAAAACGAAATTTACGGGCTCGTGAAGTTTGACGCGCAGGCACGAATGAAAAACAAAAAAACATTTAAAAAAGGAGTAACGCATCGCTCACTCGAGTATAGTTCTTATCGGCAGAAAGGGAACGACGCTTTTATGAAATTTCAGTTCTTTCTCTCACACTCAAAAGCGACAGACGCGTAATGAATTATATACGCGCGCGCACTGCGCCATTCTTTTGCTCTCCCAACTTGGCTGGTGAGCGCGAGAATGTTAAAGAATCGTTAGGCAATTTTTTTTTCTCTGAATAGAGTTCACTGCGCCGCAGTCGTTTGTCATTATTATAAAGGGCTCAACGGTGTATAATACGTGCCGAATTTAGCATCAAAGGAGCTACTTTTCTATTGTTTAGTTTCGACGTCGCCACGTAGTTTCTTATCTTATTTAGAAAGGAGAGAGAGAAAGAAGTCCATTGTAAGTTGCACGTTTGAATCTTATCGTCGATGCTGAAACTAGTAGGACCATGAACGAAAATGGCGCTCTCTGAGAAGGCACTCTACCATTTGCAATTCGTCGCTATGTTGTTAAGTAGCCGGCATGTACAGCATACATTAAAACGAAAAAATACACGAGAATGTATTTATTAAAAACTACGCAAGAATAGATAAGTCGAATAAAAAAATTGAAAGCTTAAAAAAATAAAAAGATATTTTCAATCTACATTATAAATGGACTTGGATTAGGACTGGGTAGAGAAAATTGAGTTCACTGCATAATCGCTATCTTGATAATGAGCTACGTGCTCACTCAGGGATTATAATGAAAAAAATTACTGCACGTTAATGAAAGAAGAAATAACGAGAGTCAACGAAAAAAATCTCATCAAAATCTTTGCTTATTTCACCAGTTATTAAGCTTTGCGTTAAATTACTTTAATATTAGACGAAGCTCGCGCACCAAGTACTCTTTCGCCAGTTCATTCAACTAACTACCTAAAGTTAACTTTTTTCTTTCACTTAAAAGTCTGAAGTGTTCTCCGAAATACTTCCATAGCCAATTTATTTTTCTAGGAACTCAACTTATGCGGAATATAACTTGCATTACACTGCAGTCTTTTATATTGAGCAATATTCAAATTGTGTCAAAATAAGAAAAACCTAGGAGGGATATTTTCGCATGCGTGCGTGGCAGCTCTTATGAATAAAATTCAAATTGATCGATTAAAGTACTCGAAAGCAATAAACGCGCTCGTCGACAATAACGCCACGACGTGGCGAGAGAGAGAGGGAGAGAGAGAGAGAGAGAGAGTGTGGGAAAAAAATTTCCATTCCAAGCGCCCCCCGCGCCGATGGAAAAAAAAGTCTGACTCGATAAAAAGGCGCGTCAACGTATGCGAGTGTTTTCCATGATGGGAGCGCTGCCAATAAAACGCGCATCGACGCACACTTATGTAACGATGACAAGAGACCATGCTGAAAATAGGTCAAAATCTGGCGCGTCGCGTTAGTTGTTTCCGTCGAGCGATACATAAAAAAAAGGGAGGGGTTACGTTGCGTGACCAGTTATCGTAAAGCTAAAAAAATTCTCCGGTGATGTATGTGATGTTTTCGTTTGGCAGTTCCTCGAGATGCAAGTGAAAAACGCTAACGAGCTCGTTAGAAAGATTACGGCACAACAAACTTGTTATGATGCAGTTGGAGAGGGTTGAAGTTATTTCAATTTTTATTATTTCAGCTACGTTTTACGGATAGGTATTCCGTTTTTTAGCGATCCTTCTTCTATTCGATTTCATGACAAGCAGAACAACGGATTTTTTACTTGCCAGTGTGCTTTGTATTTACGCCGTGACGAGAAATTCAGAACGCGCAAGGCATCACTTCATAATAAATATACTGCAAATAAGAAAATGTTATCAAATCAAACACTATATCAGCAGTAAATTCATAAATTCCTAAAATCTTCTTTTAGTTTTTTTGAAATGTTCATTTTACGGCTTATAAATTTCATTCTAAGAACAAACTACTGCACGTTATATGTCAGAGAGAAGCCAGAAATAATCCAATAACTCAATTTCATGCAAATTTAATAAAGCTTCATCATATTTTTCGCTAATCTGAACTTTACATGTTATCAATTTAAACTTTTAAAACCTGAGGAAAGCAAAAACAAATCATGCTAATAGTCAAGCCACAGGATATCGTGAAAACTGCATCGTCGAGGAACATCTCGATCAATCAATAAAAAGTTGCCGTTTATCTACGCAAGGCACAAGCTGCTGCGTTAGAGATAGCTGCTCGATTTGAATAGCGACGTAATATCTCCAAAGAGAAAAGTGTAAGTAAAACGAGCGAAAAAGCAATTGTTCGTGACTAAAATGCCGGGAGATCTCTCGAATGCAGAGAGAGAAAGAGGGAGAGAGAGAATGGCAGCAGTGGTGAAATCGAAAATTGTTAAGCCGTCAGGCTGGCACTGCGACCATAAATTACACGGCCAGCAAGTCGGATTTATTGCATGAATTCTTGGTCTTTTCCAAAAGGAGAGTGGGAGCGCGCGCTAACTCTCGACGCGGACAAATGGCTCATAAATTAATTCGTAGCACGCCAAAGCTTCCTTCGAAGCTGCTGCTGCTACTCAACCTTATCCCAATTGATTAATCCGACACGCCCTGCCTACTTAACCCTTTTCTACGAGAGCGGCGCAAGCGCGTGTTCGCCTTGTTTCAAGACCAGAAATTTAAGCACGATATACGCCTACGATCGTGAGCGGTTAAGGGATTTGGCTTAGTCAGACTTGTATCGTATATGTGAGCGTATTGTGCGGACTTTATTTGTCACAGTGTATACTTTCTCGGACTTTTGATAATAATGCGTAATCTTAGTTTTATTATAATCCTTACTGAAGAACAACGATGATTGTCGATTCGTCGCTTATTCATAGATATGGCAAATGTCGTTAAAGCAGTAAGATGTCAATTATTATTACTTTATGGAAGCTTAATCTATAGTAATAATAGAAAATAATAGTGACACTGCAATAACAAAAGCTTTACGTTACTGTGAGGCTGTAATTAAGAGCATAACACTACCGAGGGGACAAAAGTTTATTAGTTTCTATGTAAAAGTTTTATGAAAAAAAAAATTAATGAAACTTTATGAAGTTCTTCTGGCAAAGGCACGAGGACAAGGCGCGAGTCTTGAATTCTGATGTCTGCACTCAAGTATTTTTTTCTCTGTCCTCCAGTCATTTTATATGAAATAGCAGTTCTCCATCTTAATACTATGAACCCTCATTCCCGCAAAAATATAGAGCACACTAAGCTTATCCCTCGCAATTACGTAGCTGTGACCTTGCTATACTTTATGACATTTTTCGATCTTTTCTTACATATCCTCCATGGAAAGAATTAACGATGCTTCATCAATTCAAAGCGAATATTCTTATGCGACATCAATAAGTGGGTCCATAATAGACTTTTTCCATCAGACTTAAATTAAATTACGATGATACATTGGAATTTCACCTCACCAAATATTCGCCTCAAGCTATCAGAAGGAAACAAACAAATAAATAATTTACGATTCTCAACTCGATCAATTAATCAAAGAAACATCATTCAACCAAAAAAGTCAGCGTGAAGTGTGTATCCGCAGACGTATAAGAAAAACAAAAGTTTTTAACAAAAGTGGAGGGAAAGTGAGAGAGGGAGAGAGAGAGAGAGAGTACGTGAGCCGTTAATTCGACGCCAACTGAAACTCTATCTGCTTATAACTTTGGTTGGAAAAGTTGGCAGCTGCCCGCGGGCCAATTTATAACAGTTTCGCGCGATCCGTCTTCGGCCGCCTGTGCCATGTCAACACAACACCAGAGCAAGAGTGAGCAACGAAGCTAACTCTCGTGTCTCGTTCTATCTCGTGCAAAGATGCGGTCGAGTAGATTTG